AAAATCTCGCTGCCTTTAAATTCTAAAAAAAAAAAAAAAAAAACCACCAAAGTATTTGTTAGCTATTTTTTCTATTGTCTGTCTCCCTGTTTCTGACTCTGGAGAAAAGTAACACTGAAATGAAAAAAAAAAAAAGAAAGAAAGAAAGAAAGGGGGAAAAAAAAATTGGGTGTGGTGGTGCACACCTATAATACCAGCACTCAGGAGGTTGAGGCCGGAGGACCTCTGTGAGTTTGAGGCCAGCCTGGGCTACATAGTGAGTTTAAGCGCAGCCTGTACTACAAAGTGAGACCCTATCTCCAAAAAATAATAATTAAAAAAATGATCAAGACCAATTAGCTCATTTGTGGTTTCTGCTTTTTTCAGCCTTTCTCCATCTATAAAATGAAAGTCCAGTCAGATCATCAGAACTTTTATTCTATTTTATGCGATGAGGTGTTCCCCCATTCTAGCAATGCAAATGAAGTCAACTAAAACCTTAAAATTACATTTGACATCAAAATGGCTCTAGTATCTGTTGGTAGATGAGAAGATACGCCAAACTTGGTCTAATCATACAGTGGAATATTGTTCAACCTTACAGAGGGAGGAAATCCTATGTTTTAAGTTGGATTTGATCTGGGGATCTAGCTCAGTGGTTCTGCCACCTTCCTCATAAGCGCAAGGTCCCGAGTTCGATCCCTGGTACCAAAAATGAAACAAAACAAAACAACAACAAAATAAATTGGATTTGAAATACAGTATTTCCCTCAAACTCATGTGCAAAAGGCTTGACTGCTATTTGATGGGCTTTGGGGGATGTGATTGGATCATGAGGACTCTAAGAAGTTGATTAATGCATTGACGAGATCATAATTTTTTTCTCTGATACTGACGGTTGATCTCAGGACCTTGCACTTGTGAGGCTGATAGGGAAAACTTTAGGAAATGTCACAAAGTAAAATAACTTCTGCCCTTCACTCTGCTTAGTTCAGAATTAACCAGTACCAGAGACACTTAGTCTCCCACAAAAGTTTGTAAGTGAAAAGAACCATTGTTAGCTTTGTTAATCAAACAAGCTCCCTTTCCCCTGGCTAGAGTAAATCTAAAAGCTAACTTCTTTGAATCTAAAAGCTAACTTCTAAAAGCTAACTAAAAGCTAACTTCCCTAACAAAGAACTGCATCCGGGTTGAAATTCAGCTGCCTTGCAATCCTGTTTTGGGTATTTGTGAAAATGCAGTGTAACCAACTGAGTAAGATCAAAGCTGTAAAACCCTATGAAAGTAAGAGTTGTAGCCTAAGCGGGGAGTCGATCAGGACACCGCCATTAGGTGTGATCGATCCCCATCGTTGGAATAAACTTTTTAATTTTACTTCCATTCTGCTGCCTCTCTATGTGTCACTTGCCGTCTCCTTCCATAACAAGGCAGGCACGGTGCCACTGAGCTAAATCCCTGGACCCAGATGAGATCATAATTTAATGGCATTAATTGGGAAGTGATGGAAATAGAAGGTGGGTACTAGTTGAGTGGGTCGTGGAAATGTGATCCAGGTGCCTTTATCTGCTTTCCAGCCCCTTTCTCCCTGACTTTCAATCTCTCTTGGCTTCCTGGCTGCCATGAAGCGAGCAGGTTCTTTCTGTAATATCCTTCCACCAAGATGTTTCTTCTGCCTTGGAGCCAGCCCACCACAGATTGGACTACAGCCTTTTAAAATGTGATCTAAAATTTAAATTTAAAAAAAATTTTTGAGGGGTGGGCAGAGATTCCCCACAGTGATCCCTCTTTCCTTGTCTTCTAAAAAGGGTGCACTCCCACACTTAGGTTTTTTCTCTTTAATGTTGGTTTGTGTCAAGTATTTTGTCACAGCAATGAAAAGCTAATAACACATCCTGACATAGGCTACAACATGGATGAACACGATGCATAGTGAAACAAACTAGTCATAAAAGGTCAAATCTTGTTAGATTCCACTTATGTGACGTAGCTAAATTCATAGAAACAGACTATATATACTAGTGTAGCCTTAGTATTTCCTGGGTCCCACTCTCCTTTTTGCACAATGAAGAGTTGCAGAAATTCACAAGACAACATATGAAAGTTTCTTAACACTACAGCGAAGTGCACGTACAAATGGTCACGACCATAAACTACATGTAACTGTTAGGGAATTGATCATGTTAAAGTATTTTGTGACACTGCCATTTTGGGCTGGACTTCCGGGTTCTTCTACCCTCAAACTCCTGTGTTAAATTTCCCTTTCCCCAAGATCACGTCAGCATAAGGAACCAAAACTAAGAGTCCCTGCAAGGCGCGAATTTTTAAAAGTTGCTTGGCTTGCGATAGGTTGAGGATAGCCTGCCCCACCTTAACGGGAGGATCTTTGGCTCTAGGCCCCTTAAATAGGCCGACACTTCCTCACCCTCTCTCTCTGTTCTGCTCTCCTGAATAAGATCTTCAGTCGGACCTCTCGGTGTGTGTGGCCTAGTTGTTGAGCGTCGTTGTTCCCTAACAGTAACCATAAAAGAAAAAGTATCCCCCGGCAGGCTCAGGAGCGCCTCCTCCCCACCCAGCTGAAAGGTATAGGGTGTCGCGGGCGGGTCCAACCGCAGCTGGCATAACAGCTTTCGCTCCCAGCTAGGTGCTCGAAGCCAGTGCTGGTTACACTCGACCAGGTGTGTTGGGAGGGCGGGACCTAGGGAGGCCGCGCACCAGCGAGACTAGCCTCCTAGAGGGACCGGAAGCAGCCTCCCGGGCGGCGCACTTCCGCCGGGAAGTTGAAGTAGGCGCGCGGAGCCAAAGTCGTAAGAGCGCCTTGCTGGCCCTACGCGTGTAATCAGGCTCTGTGACTTCTTGCATTTCAGGCGTTCAATCCCGGCTCTACCTGCACTGCCCCAAAGGCCTAGCTCAAGTCCTTCCTCTGCCTCCTTGAGGCCCTCAAGTAAGCTGACGAAGCCCTTTCCTCCCCCTCCCCACCCCTCCACCTCCACCTTCGCCCCAGCCTGCAACTCGGGTCGTCCCTTCTGTCAAAAGTAGTGTTTTGCCTTTGACTTACATTGGTGCCTTTGTCGTGTCCCGCTGCACTGTGTATATGGGGGCTATTTCTGATAGTTTTGTTCCTTGGCCTGCATGACCATCTTTATACCATCTCCTTTCTGTCTTCGTTACTCTAGCTTTTTAGGTGTGTTACTGGAATAATTTAAGAGTGTCGGCGGCGACAGCCAGTACAGGACCAGTACTACGAAGAGGAGTAGGAGTAGTAAGGAGAATTGGTAGGAAGAAATCAGGTTCATTCAAGGGCCGGCCCTGAATAAGATGGAGGGTTTTTCTCCTCAAAGTTCCATTTTGAGGGACGACAAGAGCAGAAAGGAGAAGCAGGGCAGGAAGTCTGCATGCTGAGAGGTCTCTTGATCATGCAGAGTTTATTCCTCACTCACCCTCCCTTGCCCCGTTTTTGTCCCGTAGGACTGGGGTTTGAAACCCACAGCCTCGCACATGTCAGGCAAGCGCTGTACCCCTGAACCATACCCTCTACTCACACACTTTTTAACGCAGTCTGTCCAAGTTGCCCGGGCTGGCTTTAAAGTTGTCATTCTCCTGCCTAGCCCCCTGAGTAGCTGGGATTATAGGATTGGGTTGCCATACCGTCCTCTGGCAGTAGGTCTTTTTGGACATATGTAATACTTCTTTTGGGGGGTGACCCAGGGATTGACCTCAGAATGTTTGTTTTGTCTTTTGTCGTTTTTTTTTTTTTTTTTTTTTTTTTTTTTAGGGGTGAAGTTTTTTTGTACCAGGGATAGAACTCAGGACCTTGCGCTTGCCAGGCATTTGTGCCACTGAGCTACATCCCCAGCCCTCTTTTTGTTTTGTCTTTTTTTTTTTTTTAACTCAACGTTTGGACTGAGCTACATTCCCAGTTCTTTATTTGTTTGTTTATTTTGTTTTTGTTTCTTTTAGTACCGGGGATCAAACTCAGGACTTTGTGCTTGCCAGGCAGGTGCTGTGCCACTGAACTAAATCCCAGGTCCAACACAGTCCTTTATTTTTATTTTATTTATTTATTTTTTTTATTTCTTGAGACAGGATCTTGCTATGTAGTTCAGGCTTGAACTTGCAGCAGTCCTCCTGCCTTGGCCTCCAGAGTGCTAGGATTATAGGCATGTGCTACTACACCAGGTTTAGTTTTAAATTTTGAGACAGAATCTAGCTACTATTGGAGGCGAGGCTGGGTCCAATTCTTTAACCTCCTGCCTCAGCTTCCCAGGTTGCACCACCACACCCAGTTGGACATACTACTTTTGACAGTTAAAGCTGACATCAATTTATATGTTTCCTGTTAGTTGTTACATAGAAGTAAATACTAAAAAGAGTCATAAAGGTCAACAAATATGAGTTCTGTAGCTCTAAAAGATTTAGCAGTTAACATCTTAACCATTTAAGTTGGTCTTCTGTTTAGAATTTAGAGTGCCTGGCAGGCAAAAGAGAAGCCACATAAAAAGATTAGTGTGGTACAACAACCTTCCAACTCATTTTTCAAGATTGGGTATTCCTGAACTTTGTATCTATAAATTTTTATAATCATCCTGTTAATTTCTTTTTTTATTTTTTATTGAGTTTACTGGTACTTTTTAAGTATACAGTACAGGTACATTTATCATTGGGATCTTGTACCTTTATATGTCAGATATTGGGGCTCATTTTCTTCCCCATACTCCTGCCCTCCCTTTACCCCCTCCCCCCTCCCCTATTTACAAAGACTTTGTTTCCATTTTTTCCTCTTCTCATTCATCCTGTTAATTTCTACAAAAAGCCTGTTGGGTTTTCATGGATTTGTGGAATCTGTAAATTAGGGAGAGCTGAAAACATCTATAAACATGGGTGTGATAATCTAACTGGTTGGTTGATACGTTACCTTCTGACATCCTTGGAATGTGAAGTCAGTGTTTTTTTTTTTTGGATGTACTAGGAATGGAACCAAGGCCTTTACATGAGCTACATCCCCAACCCTTTGAAATAGGGTCTTGCTAAATTGCCCAGGATAAGCTCAAACTTGGGATCCTCTTTCCTCAGCTTCCCAGAATGGGATATTGGTCTGGGACACCATACCGAGCTCAGTGTCTTTTGTTTTGTTTTTAAATATTAAAGGAAATCTGGGCTTGGTGGTCCATGCCTGTGATGCCAGTACTAGGAAGACTGAGAGGGGAGAATTGCTGTGAGTTTGAAGCCAGCCTGGTCTACATACTGAGTTCAAGGCCAGCCTGAACTGCATAGTGAGACCCTGTCTCCCCCTCAAAAAAAATTAAAAGAAACACTTAACAATTATTTTTTTGAGGGGTAACAGGGATCAAACTCAGGATCAAACTGCTTTTGAGGCAGAGGCGACACCACTGAGCTAAATCCCTGGCCCTTAAAAATTATTTTTTAATTTTAGTTTTTAGCAAACATGGTAGTGTACACCTGTAATCCCAGCCCTCAGTAGGCTAAGTCAGGAGGATTGCTGGGAGTTCAAGGCCAGCCTGAACAGAACTAAATTTTTACTTTTATTAGTATAATTTGTGGTGCATAATGATTATATTCATTGTGGGGGAATGGGTACTTGTACATAACACGTCTCTTTTGGAGGGGTTAGACAGCGTTTCACTATGTAAGTAGCCCTGGATGGCCTTGAGCTCAAATTGATCCCTCCTGCCTCAGTCTTCTGAGTGCCGGGATGAAAAGCATGGGCTATCACACCCAGCTTTCTGTATATATTTTTTCCCTCCAGTATCAGGGTTCAAACTCAAGATCTTGCACTTGTGAGGCAGGCATAGTGCCACTTAGCTAAATCCCCATCCCTTGTATATATTCTTAAATGATGAAATATTCAGCTGAGTGTAAAAAGTCAAATTTGTTTTGTAGCTTTTCTGTGCAGTCACACTGTAATGAAATCATTCCCTTTAACCATTCTTCCTTGGTAAAAAAAATTCTGTTTCAGCCTCCAATTCGCACACTAAAACTAGCACAATTTAAAGTTCAATAATGTCTTCACAAAAATTTTTCATTCCTTTTGGTTCTAAACTTCATCAGAATCTGTGTACTCAAAGCCAAGCTAAGCACTTGATTCAAAATTGTTCCTTTCCACTTACTAGTATAGCAGGGGTTGGGATCTACAATAACTGGAGATTTTACACTTTTTTTTTTTTTTGTAGACATTTCACACTTTTTTAAACCTTCATATTGTGCTCTTGCTGCTTGCCGCCCCAGAGGACTTTTCTTCTTCACTGACATCTTGTGCCCTGTTCCCAGAGACAGAAGCAAGTAGAGGAGTAGAGCCACCTGTCCTCACTGACACAGCCCAGCTGCTGCCCACTCACAGGTCTTGTGTTTCTTTCCCTGGGATAGAGATATTCCTGACTTGTGGATGCTATGGTTGGATCTCACTAGAAGATAACATGGACAGTACAGGACCTCCACTAGTCACAGAGAGCCCAGGATTTAAATTATGGTTTTTCTCCTTTGTCCTATTAATATGGTTAATGTTATCGGTTCATTTATGATTGATATTGGAAAAGTTGGGGCAATGTCTTAGTTAACTTTCTTGTTTCTGGAATAAGATGCCCGAGAACCACAAGTTAGAGGAAAGCTTTATTTTAGCTCACAGATTGTAGAAGTTTCAGCCCATAGTCTAGGTGCAGGGCAGTGCGGCATGGCGGAGGAGAGACAGTTCATGGTGTTGTGGGCTGGAAGCAGTAAGCCTTCCTTCTTTCCCACTTTATTTAAATTAATTTATTTATTCATTAGTTTTTATTTTTTTCTGGTACTGGTGATTGAACTCAGGACTTTGCATTTGCCAGGCAGGCATAGCACTACTAAGCTATATCCCTGGCCCTATTTATTAGGTTTTTTTGAGATAAGGTCTTGCTATATAATTCATACTGGCCTCAAACTCACAGCAATCCATCTGCCTCAGCCTCCTGAGTCCTGGGATTATAGGCCTGTGACACCATGCCTGGCTTTGTATTGTTTTTTTTTTGCTTTTTTTTTTTTGCTTTTTTGTACTGGGGATCAAACTCAGATCCTTGCGCTTGCGAGGCAGGCAGCAGCACCACTGATCTAAATCCCTGGTCCTTACATTTTGAGGCAGGGTCCTGCTTTGTAGTTCAGATTGTCCCCCCTACCCCCTTAAGGCTGGTATGAACTCAACTGTGTAGCCCAAATTGGTCTTGAACTCTTAGTGATCCTTCTGCTTCAGCCTCCTGAATGCTGGGATTACAGATGTGTACCACCATGCCTGGCCCATTCTTTCCCTTTTTATTCCACCCAGGCTACAAGCCAATTGGTTGGTGCACTGTATACCCAGTGTGGATCTTCCCTCTTCTGTAAATCTGTCATCCATACCCAAATGCTAAACCAATCACTGGACTGATCCATTATCTATCACACACTTGATATCCAGCCACCTCCTAAAAGCTCTACCTTCCATGAGCAAATGAGGCTTTGAGGGACCTTTAGATATAAACCATAATGGGCAGTCATTGTGATTAAAATTAATGCCATGCTCTTGAAAGGAAACACTCAATTTAGTGAGGATTTATTGACAGAAAGAAGCCTGTCTTGGACAGCTGCAAGACAAGAGGCTCCCTGCACTCCTAGGCAAATGGAAAGGGTTTTTATGCTGAGCTGGACAATGGTGGGCCATGTCTAACCAGAATATACTGGCCTTTCTGAAAAACTGTTGCCGCCTGGCATGGTGGCACACACCTGTAGTCCCAGCACTTGGGAGGCTGAGGCAGGAGGATCACTTGTGAGTTCGAGACCAGCCTGGGCTACATAGTAAGTTCCAGGTCAGTCTCAACTACATAGACCCTGCCTCAAAAACCAAAAAAATAAAAAAAAATAAAAAATAAATGAAAAACCATTGCCATGTCAAATGTCAGTTAAGAAGCAGTGGGGGGCCAGGGATTTAGCTCAATGGTTCGGTGGCCTGCCTTGCAAGAGCAAGGACCCGAGTTCAATCCCCGGTACCAAAAAAAAAAAAAAAACAAAACAGTGGGTATCTTTGCCTAGCATGTCACACTCAAGATAATCTTAATACCAGGGTCAACTAGTTAAAAATGGCATGTTTTGGTCAATATGGCTTTGACCATGACAAGCTAAATCCCTACAAACTGCAAGTTGGAAAATAATGAAAACATTTAGCAGTTACATGTAACTAATAAGGGTCTGGAGGAAAAAGATAATCATTTATGAGGAGAGGTGGGCACAGGTAGTGCCACTGTACAGAGAAGCTGGCTGGATAGTCTGCTGCAGGGGTTGGGCCTCCCAAACTTGTCACCAGCTCCAGCCAATGAAGATCGAAATAACTGTGTTCTTGGATAAACTCACTTGGTCATGATGTAGAAATCATTTTATATATTTATGGACTTTGCATCCTGATATTTTAAGAATGTTTGGGTCTATAAGAGATTGGTCTTTTTCTGAAAAAAAAATTGGGGGGGTACTGGGGATTATGCTTGCAAGGCAGGTGGTGGAACCACTCAGCTAAATCCCTGGCCCTCTTTTCTGAAATATTAAGGTTTTGATTCAGGGTTGTGCTGACTTCACTAAGAGACTGGAAAGTGTAACAGGTAGAGCCTGAACTTCCTCTGCTTTGTCGGTTTGGTGATGTCTTTTTCAGGGAATTTGTACATTTTATGTTAATTGCTGGACTTGTCAGGGTACTCCTGCTATCTATCTCTGATGTGAGAATAAGGCATAGACTTCCTGAATGAAACTTCTGTCTTTTGTGACTTGGGACTGGCCTCACCTGTACCCTGGGGGTCTGGCTTCTCTGGAGAGACAGCCTGAGGCAGAAGCCCCATCCCTGCCTGCAATTTAGGGACCAACAGGTTAAGGGAGCAACTGGCAGGCCCCAGAGAATCAGTAAAGATTAATGTGTTTCCTGGGGTTGCCCCATATTTTAATGTGAGGGGAGATTGTTCTGTGGCCTCTAGTGGGAAAGTGCCTGGGGACATTTTTCATGCCCATTGTTATAGGAACAGGTAGCTTGCCTACTTGGAACTCCAGTGCCTCTCTTGGGGTTTTAGTCCCTAGTTCTTTTTGTAGGGTGGTATCAGGAATCAAACTCAGGACCTTGCACTTGTGAGGCAGGCGAGGCACCTCTAAGTTAAATCCCTGGCCCTAGTCCCAAGTTCTCTAGTGCCATGACTGCAGCCAAGCTGTTTGTTTTCAACCAGAATTGGCTGGTCTCAGCTTCCTGGTGACAGGTCTACCCTACTTCCTGGTGTTCCAGGGTTTTTTGTGTGTGGGAAGAACCAGGGAACTTGGCCTTCCTGTGTACCTGCCTGGCTGTGCTTACCATAGATGCTGAGTGGGAGGGGGCATCATTGATTTTTCCCGAACTCCCTGAATTGCAAGTTGGGAACAGCCTCTGGTTGTCAGGTGGGGTTCCTAGGCCTGCTGCTCATGCTCATACACTTTGTTCCTCCAGATCAGCTGTTTCTGGCACCTGCATTTCCCTGGGGTGGGTAGCCACTGCTGTACCCATGGATGTGTCCCAGGTGAGCCCGCAGCCTGCCTCTGCCCCACAGAACCCCCCCAAGTTCCAGCGTAGGCCAGGAGGCGTCCTGTCTGAGCCTGCCTTTTTGCTTATTCTCTTTTCATGGGGAAGGAGGAAAGAGAAAAGAATCTACCTACATGATGAGCAGAATAGATGTGATAGTAAGCTTGGAACATATGTTTGAGTCTCTTAGGTACTGTCTTAGGTCTACTACAGCTACAAAAACAAAATACCAGTCTGGGCTGCTTAAACAGAAGGCATTTACTTCTCTATTCTGAGACTCCAAGTCCAAAGTGCTAACATACTCAGTTTCTAGTGAGGCCTGCTTTCTGGTTTGTAGAGGCCATCTTTGTACTGTGTCCTTACGTGAGGGAAGAGAGCCAGGGAGGCCTCTGGCTTTCTTATGTAGATCCTAGTGGTAGTACCCTCTGTCCAGGGCCCTACTATAGCAACTCATTTAACCTTGCTTGCTTCCTTAGAAGCCCCATTTCCAGTACAAGGGCTACTGTACCTGGGGGCTATGGTTCTAGCATATGAATTTGCAGGACACAGACCTCTTGTCCATACTGGCACCTTTGCTGTGCTTAGCTGTGGGCTCCCTGGAGTTTTCCTCCCTGGCGACCACCTACCCTCACCCCCTCCTGCCTGGATGTCTGGTTTAAGTGCCTCTGTTGTAGGAATCAGTAAGTGACACACAGAGAGGCAGCAGAATGGAAGAAAAATAACAAATTTACTCATCGATAAAGGTCGATTGCACATAAGCCATGCCTGGATTGACAACGCACTGGGTGACAACTCCTTTTATAGGGTTTTGCAGCCTTGACTTCATTTGGGTGGTTACATTTTATTCTCACAGTTCAAATCACGGTCACAAAATGGTTAATCTTTTCAACCCAAAGGTAACAGTTCCTTGCAGTTGGGGAGTTTACCTTTAAGATTCACCTAGTTATCTGTTCTAGCCCATAAGGAGAGGGTGTTCAGGGCCACAAAGCGAATGTTGGCAATGGTCCTTTTTATCTTGACACTTTTACGATCGGGTGGCTTCAGTCTCTCTGGGAGCTCAAGGCCTTGATGTGCCCTATTATCTCAGGGTCAGACCAAATGCCTCATTCAGCAGTTAGTGCCTTCGGTGCCTATTAGTTTTGAGCTAAACAAACAAACTGCTGTTAGAGACAGCAGAAGCCACATTACATTGTAACACTTTATAGGTTTTTGCTATTTATAAAAGTTTGCCCTATCACTGTCTCTCTTGGCCTTTCTTAGGAGCATCTAGCCCTGGAGCCACCATGCGTGTTTCAGTTGCCAGTGACCTTCAAGGATGTGGCTGTGTACTTCTCAAGGGAAGAGTGGGAGTGTCTCAGTCCCAGGCAGAAGGCTCTCTACCGGAATGTGATGCTGGACAATTTCAAGAGCCTGGTAGCACTGGGTGAGGTTGCATGTATGACTCAGGACCTGGGGATCCTCCCTGCACCAAGTCTGGTCCACACAGAGGTGGGGTGCTGGTGTCTAGACTTCCATCTCCCTCCTTTCCTGTCAGTCTCCTGGTGTCTTCTTGAAGGATATCTGGCTGCTTGGTTCACATTATGTAGTCTGAGCCACACCCTGCATTTTGTCTTCTGCACAAATAAAACTCCAGTTCTCTTTTGAGAAGGATTTTGCGGCCCCAGACCAGACCTTGTCTCTCGCCTGGAGCAGTGGGATGAGCTATGGGTTGAGAACTGTGAGAAGACTGAGGTTCAGGAAGCACAGAATGCCCGCTTTCCAGGTGAGCACCGTGGGGTCTGGCGTGAGGTTGGCTGGCTCATCCCTCCATCCCCACAACTCCCAGCTCGTGCCCAGTACACAGCACCAACCAACCCTTCCCCTTGCAAGAGAAGTACATGAAACTGCCCACATGAGGGACTTTAGAAGGATAGGGGCTAGGCATGGTAATGTACACCTGTAATCCCAGCACTATAGAGGCTGAGGCAGGATCGCCACAAGTTTGAGGCCAGCCTGGACTACATAGTAATATCCTGTCTTGAAAAAAGAAAAAAAAAGGGGGGGCCAGGGATTTAGCTCAGTGGTGCACAGCCTGCCTCGCAAGCAGAAGGTCCCAAGTTCTATCCCCGGTACCAAAAAAAAACAAAAATTAGAAACACACAGATGGCAGCAGCCACCTTCCTGTCTGGAGCCCTGCTGGGACAGATATTATGTGTGCATGGCTGAAGTGGCTTAGGGAGGCTGGAAGGGTATCCTTTTACGATTCTGTGGAAGGTGCCTGAGGCCCAGCTGTGACGGCCACTTGGGTCTAGGCTCATGTATCTGCTCTAGGTGAGGGTCTCCAACCATGTGTCTATGCTGAGTGTGGGCTGTAGGGAGATTCTTCATTCCATGTGTCTGCTCAGTAGTGCTCCCTCCATTAAATGAGATGGTGGTCTCAATAGTGGTCACATAAGTTTTGGGTTTTTTTTGCAGTCTAGGGATAGAACATGACTGTGTGTGTATTGGGCAAGTGCTCTACTGTGTAGCTAACTCCAGCCCCAGGTTTTATTTTTTCCCTCAGATCCCCTCACAAATGAGATCAAGCAGCTGCATGCCCGAGACAGACTGGGAAGTCCCTGGAGCATGTGGAGCCACAGGCTGGGGAGAGCACCAGGTCCTAAATTAGGGCAGTTTCTGGCTCGAGGGTCAGTAGCCTGTATTGTGAAGCTCTGCTGGTGGGTGCATGCAAGTTTAGAGGACATTCTCTTGGCTCAATTGTTGTACTAGGTAGATACACTTGAATGTGTGCTATTTTTAAACCAATTTATAGTACTTCACCATGCTGGTCATGACAGGGTTTGTCTAGCTGCTGTCTAGTTAGGTGAACATATAACTCATGATGCTTTTTTGGAGTAACTCCCTAATTAGATTGAAATGAATTGATTTAACATTTGGTAGCTTTTTCTGTACTGCCATATGAATGACCTGGCCTGTCCCTGAGCCCTGTGTAAACATTTTGGTGTCTTCCACAGGGGCAAGGAAGCCAGTTGACCGCAGGAGACGCTGCCGTCGGCTGGCTTGGGCTCATGAGAAAGTCCACCTGCAGGGAAGAGACCCAGGCACCAACCCCACAAGTTGTATGCAGTTTCCCAGAGCTGCTTCAGGGAAGAGGGCCAATGAGCCTCTGGCTCTGCAGGCCCAGGTGTGTGGTGAGTCCTGCGGGCAGCAGCCAGGCCTTGAGCAGCACAAGGGCAGCAGTGGAACACAGGTATTCATCTGTGGCACATGTGGGAAGGTGCTGAGCTGCCACAGCCGGCTGGCTGCCCACCAGATGGTACATTCAGGTGCCAGGTCCTTTGCCTGTCTCGAGTGTGGCCAGACCTTCCGCTGGGTCTCGAACCTCCTGCGCCACCAGAGGAACCACACAAGTGAGAAGACCTTCCGCTGTGAGCTGTGTGGACACGCCTTCAGGCTGAAGGCCCGCCTGGTGCAGCACCGCAAGGTACACACAGGGCACCGGCCCTACGAGTGTGATGCTTGTGGCAAGGCCTTTAAACAGAAATCTAACCTGCTACGCCACCAACTGGTACACACGGGTGAGAGGCCTTTCCACTGTGCCATCTGCTGCAAGGACTTCCGCACTAAGGAGAACCTCAACCACCACCAGCGGATCCACAGTGGTGAGAAGCCCTATACTTGCTCTGAGTGTGGGAAAGCCTTCAGGTGGTCCAGGGGCTTCAGCATCCATCAGAGGCTGCACCTGACCAAGAGGGTCTACAAATGTGAGCACTGTGGGAAGGGCTTCCGCCACCTGGGCTTCTTCACTCGGCACCAGAGGACCCATGGGCGCGGCGAAGTGTAGAGTTGCCTGGGTCCAGCAAGGGTATGTCCTGGCTAAAGTTGGACTGTGAGGACAGATTGGGCCAACAGTCCCTCTCCAGCCTGGAAGAGGCCTTCTTGGTCCTTGAAGCAACTGTTCAGAGCTTCCTGAATCCCCCAATGTTATTAGAAAAACTGCTGTCAATGGAAGGAGATCTGGAGCCACAGTGCTGTTTCCCAGGTGCCCAGGCCCAAGATGGCCTGAGGCTATGTGCAGCCCTGGAAGACTGGACACAAGAAGTTACTGATATTTTGCCCTCTCCAGCACCCATGGCTGTCTGCCCAGGAACCAGACCCCACCACCCTGAGTGTCACTCTTGTTCAGTTTAACTTCCTTTCCTTAGTTTTTCTCACCTGTGCTTTCTCCCATCTGTCATCCTTCTGGCCTAAGCAAGGCCGCTTTGAATTACACAGAAGCAAAGACCCTTCTGCACTCTTCACAGAGGGGACTTTGAAATGAGCACCTTTGTAATGTCACAACCCTGAAAGGATTGTGGAAAGACCTGAACTCACAGGGTGTTGACAGTGTACTGCATGTGTGGGAAAAGCATCCTGTGTGTGCAGGACAGTAACAAGTTTCTTAAAGCTACATCCTTAGAGGGCTGTTTTCTGATTTCTCAAACTGAAACTGACTCTCAGGTGGTGTGTCTTTGGTAAAATGGCATTGCATCTTCTATTTATTTTACTGGGGAAGGCTGTCCCCAGAGTTTGATAGGGGGCCCCATGGGGCATCTGGACAGCCCCTTTGCTTTGGGCTCAGACTCTGACCCAGGACAGAGCTGTCAGAGTGCTGGGTAAAGCTTCGCTTCTGGGTATGTGGCTAAGGACAAGATACTAGCCCTGCATTCTCATGGGTCAATGAACCATCTAGGTGCTGCCAACCTGGGACTGTTCAGCTCAGCCCTGGGCCCCTCTGCTTTTAGGGACCTTCAGTTAATAGGGCCCTTTTGGCCTAGCACTACCAACATGTTGTAGGTTCTACTTGGCACTGGGTGTCTCTAGGAGGTGGTGGGGGACCTTAGTACTATATACAGTGGCTGTGTTTGACCCAGGGCATTTTCTGGAGAAGAGGTGACCTCTTTGTTCTCAACTTAGAATGTCAGTGCTGATCCAATCAGAAACACAAGTCTGTTACACAGAACTCTAGGGCAGCCAGAATACTCTTGTATTCTGGAGGTCATCAGGGGCCGAAGCACTTCCTATATCTAAGGTTATCTGAATAGTTTAAGAAAGATTTTGCTTTGGCTTTTTAAGCATTCTAGTTAAAAAGGGCACATGGAATTACAAATGAGTTTGTAGGAAATAGGGTGAAGAAACTCAGCCTGTCAAGATATGCTGAGTCAGACTTCATGAGAGATGCTACCAAATACCTTCCCCTGTAAACCAGAGGCATAAAGTCAGGGTGGGGCTGGTGGTGACCCTGATTTGAACAAACCAGCTATAAGGCATTTTTGAGACAGTCATAGAAATTTGAACAGGGCCTGAGGGTTAGGGAATTTGTGATGATATGGCTATTACTATAAAGAGTCCTTATTCAGAGAAATTCCGACTTATTTATAGGGCAAATGACATGGTGTCTTGAGATTTGCCTTAAAAGGAAAAGGAAATTGGGGAAACTTTGGAAGTTGTTGAAGAGGGAACTATGTTTCCATTTTCTGTAGTGTTTTTTTTTTTAATTTTAAGTTCATTAATACATACTGAAGAAGCTATGAGGTTAGGTTTCTCAGCCTACACAGACTGCCATGAGGAAACACTGCATAGTGGGTGGCGTGAACAGCAGCTTACTTCCTCCATTCTAGAGGCTGAAGACAGGTGGTGCTGCCAGCATCTTCCCTTCTGGTGAGGGCTTTTCCTCCCTTACAAGAGCTGGGCTGGGGCTGGTGTCGCTTTCCCATTGAGACCTGCCCATGTAACTTCATTTTTAAAAAATTGATTTTATTACACACTTTAAATAAGCATATTGATCATATTCATCATAGGGAATTTGTACTTGTGCATTATATATTGTGATTCTTCTTTTTCCCTCACATGTAACTTCATCTAAACCAAATCACCTCCCAAAGACCCCCCTCCTGGTATCATGCCATTGGGTTTAGAGCGCCACCATACAAGCTCTAGGGGGATATACTTCATGCTACCCCAGGGACTGTGGACAGCTTTTCTTCTGCTTACATCATCCAAGCACATGCAAAAAAACAGCTGTTGGGCATGGGTCTTGTTTGTGTTTTGCGCAGTGGAGAAAGTCAGCTGGTTGAGTACAGGTGAAAAGGCCCATTTTGGAATGGAGCATCTTGTACCTGTGGGCAGTGGGTGCCAAGGATGTCGCAGCCTGAACTGAAGGTTTTTGTTTTTTGCAGTTTGGGGGATCAAACCCAGGGGTGCTCTATACAGAGTTATATTCCTAGGCTTTTTAATTTTATCTTCAGACATTCTTACTAAATTGCCTAGGCTGGCCTTGAACTTGCAATCGTGCCTCAGCCCCTTGAGTAGCTAAGGTTATAGGTTTGTGCCACATGTCCACTTGGGCTTGAGTTTTGAATGTCCTGGAACCAGCTGGCTGTATCTGAGGTCCCCTGTACCTGATTCTTAATTCTTCATGATGCTTTCGCTTCAGTTGTGGAATTGAATATGAATGACTCAGAACTTAGTGATGAGCCAAGCTCCATCTGATGGTGATTATCTGTTGACCAGAGGAGGCTATCTGGTGCTTGGTGGCAGTTTTGTCTGGTTGATGAATAGCCATTCGTGACCAGTCTGCATCCTTTGACTGCTTCATGGGGCTTTCCTTCCTGGCATTCCGGAAGTGGTAAGGGCAGGCAGGTCAGTAACAGTGGGGGACAGTGGTATCCTTTGCTAACTTAAGGCTGCTGTTCCACCTTCCTCATTTCACCTACATGCCCTCAGACATCCCTGGGAAGAGCCTGGTGGCTGTGAAGTAGGGAACAGGTACAGTGGTGCTAGGATGATGTGTTTTTTTCTTAACTACTCACTCCACTGCTAGTGCCTTCCAGGTTAGGGCAACAAGGGCGGCCTCCTGGCACCTATCCTCTAGGCACCACCTTCTCAGGACAGGTGGGCCTGGCCATCGGCCTCCCCCTCCCCAGGGGCCAACAGGTGACAGAGCTGAACCTATGACCTGGAGTCTTCCCCTGTCCACAAGCAACTCACTAGTCTGGCCTGGGCAACCATGTTCTGCCCATGTGCCCCCAGAGATGCACCAGGTGATAGCAAGAGCAGCAGAGAGCTCCAGGATAATAAGGGACCTGTGTTCACTGAGGACCTTGGCCTAGAGAGGAAGTCCACAGTGCTGGGAAGAAAACAGTGCCATAGACAGATGTATTTCCTGGAGAGTAAAATGCCAGGCAAATTGGTATCTGGGGGTGCATTCTGGTTGCAGTGCACCATGAGCTACCAAACTGCTGGCTGGTGAGATCTGCTGTGTCCCAGTCTCATAGTCTCAGAAGTAACGTCCCACAGGGGAGATGACAGCTGCTTCTCTGAGGGCAAGCTTGGCCCTAGTATTTCATTTTTTGGTGTTTCTATATGTGGCTTTTGGGGCCTAAATCACGGGCCCATCAAATGAAACGCTTTGGGAAATTTGGAATGTGTAGCTTTGGTTTTTTGAGGCAGGATCTCACTATAGCCCATGCTGGCCTGGAAGGAGAGAAGTCTCAAAGGAGGCACCACAGGGTGCTCCATGCCACCACCTCCCTGCCCAGCCCCAACACCTCAACGAGACTGACAGGAGCTCCTACTGTGTTCTCTGGGTGGCTACTGGCTCAGTCATGTCACCATGTACATTGGGTGCACAAATAGAGATCTAGTACTATTTCTGTTTTTTACTCCAACCTCATAGATAAAATCCAACCCTTGGGCATATGTGACAGATACTGCAATGCTTCCCCAGTGGCTGCTGCCCTGGCCCTGGGCTGAACTGCGTGACCTGAGGTTCCCTTTGTCCTGGGTCTTGTTCATTAACTGGCTGGGGAGGAGAGGGCAGTGCCTCAGCTGTGGCGCTCTCACAAGGCCGCCAGGCTGACCAGACCAGGAAATAAGCCCACATGCTTACTGCCTCTTCTCAGATATGTCCAAAGCTCTTCACCAAAAGGCCCTGGGGTCTGATTTGCCTAACAGGAATACAAGATAGGATGGAGTACCGGGCATGGTGGCTCACGCCTGTAATCCCAGCACTGGGGAGGCTGAGGCAGGAGGATTGCTGTGAGTTCGAGACCAGCCTGGGCTACATAGTGAGTTCCAGGTCAGTCTCAACTACATAGTGAGATCCTGTCTCAAAAAAACAAAAGATAGGATGGAGTGAGGTTTATGTGTAGTTTGGCCTGTACAGAATTATGGCAACTTGGTATATATGAGTTTGGAGAAGCCTGATGGGGCAAGAGGTTGGATTCAATGTAATTGTACTATAACTCTAGACTGACTCACTTTTTGCCTGTTCAGCCGTGCAGCCATCTATAACGACAGCCCTGCGAGATTAGGACCTACTCTAACAACCTCAACTTCCTCCAAATGCAGTCACATTCTAAGGTTAGGACTGGCATGTGACAGGGCAGGGTCTGACACAGGCATCAGTAGCTCCTAGAGGAACACTAGATGAGGGGCCACTCTATACTCAGCAGGAACACAGAGGAAAGCCCTTTCTCACTCTGGCATTGCTTTAATTTGCATTTCCCTGATTTCTGAGGCGCCTCAGGTCTTTTCAGATGCTCATTAACATTTGTATTCTAACTTTTTTAAAGTGGAGCTGGGAATATGGCATATCTATAATTACAGCACTTTGGAGGCTAAGGCAGGAGGATGGCTGTACGTTCAAGGCCAGCCTGGACTACATAGTGAAACCCTGTCTCCAAAAAAAAAAAAAAGTTTAAGACCTGGGATTTAGCTCAGTGGCACCATACCTGCCTTGTAAGCACAAGGTCCTGAGTTTGATCCCTGGTACAAAAAAAGGGCTGGGATTTAGCTCAGTGGTTCTGTTGCCTGCCTTGCAAACGCAAGGGCCTGAGTTCCATCCCCAGTACAAAAACAAAAAAAGTTTAAAGCTAATAGACTGTGTGTGCACGTGTGTGCGTGTGTTAGTGGGGATTGGACCCAGGACCTTCTTATTAAGCCATATCCCTAGCCCTTTTCTTAAATTTTAGAGACAGGGTCTTGCTTAGTTGCTGAATTGCCTCTGGCTGGGCTCCAATTTGAGACCCACCTGCCTCAGCTTCCCACACTGCTGCTATCACATACATGGCATCATTCTCAGATCCAACTTTAAAAATGTTTGAATCATGGCCGGGGATTTAGCTCAGTGGTTCCGCCGCTTGCCTTGCAAACGCAAAGACCCGAGTTCAATCCCCGGTACCAAAAAAAAAAAAAAAAAT